AGCTTGTAGTCTTTTTAAAATTAATATAAACAAAACCATATAAGTCATGAGCTAGTTATGTTGGGGGGATATTAAGTATACAAGTACCTACATAAAATACGTGATATTGTTGGGATTCTACCTACCTGTAATATTCACGCCAGTCTATTGGGTCTTCTGAATAAGTACCTATACGAAAGATGATGAGTGTTTTATGTTAATAAGTATACAATGTATGTCTTTTAAAGAATTTCACAGAAACTACTAAATGGATTGATATATCTTTTTATCGACATAGTTATGTACCTTTCAACTTTATCATCATCATCAACTTATTTTAACTCACAGCTGCGTATGGGCCTCTTTTCCCTTGTACTATTTTTCCCTGTCTCGGGATAATCTTGCCTATGTATGATGACCCTTTAACTAAAGGAGAAATAAACATTTTTCATCAAAATCTTTTCAGAAGTTAAAAAGATTAGGATGAAGCTGTTTAATTGTTCATACGTATTTAAATTAAGGTTCATACGGTACGTATAAAAAAGACAGCAAAAGATTTGTTTTAAAATTTAATATTGATAACGAAACAATTATGTTACTACAAAACAAAACAGTGATTTTTTTTTTTAAATAATGAAATTGTGTAAATTAAACAGTTTTTCGGAGAATATTAAATCCTACCTCGTAATTATAGTAATTTCCTTCGCACTTTTTGTTCTGCAAAATCTTTAATAATATCTGATAAATTTATACTGTCGCAAACCTTGTATTCTATTGAAATCACAGCCAATCCAATTAATCTATTCTGTGTCATGGTGGATCGCAGATAATTTTTTATTATTTTTAATTTCGAAAAGCGTCTTTCACCACTTGCAACGTTACTGGTGAAGTTAAAAGGATCCTGAGCGCAATTACCTATTGAACCAAATCTTAAATCTGTTACAAATTTCAAAACATTTTGAGGAGATAAATTACTATTCAAAAACATACAAAGGACTGACAACTCCTCACAAAGTTGTAATGCATTTACATCGCTTGAGTTCTCATAAGTTAAAATAGCCTCAAGGTTCTTACAATGTTCTAACAATTCATCTTTTGGGAGTTCTCTTAAGGCATATAAGTTATACATCATCATCATCATTACAGCCCTTCACAAGTCCACTGCTGAACATAGGCCTCCCCCAAGGAATGTCACAAAGCACGGTCCTGAGCCACCTGCATCCATCGACTTCCTGCATATCTTACCAGGTCGTCACTCCATCTAGTGGGAGGACGCCCTACGCTTCGTCCGCCGGTACGAGGCCGCCACTCGAGAACCTTTTTTCCACATCAGTTGTCGGTTCTTCGAGCTATATGGCTGGCCCATTGCCACTTCAGCTTACTAGTCCGTTGGGCTATGTCGGTCACTCTGGTTCTACTGCGGATATCCTCATTTCTAAGTTTATCACGCAGAGAAACTCCGAGCATAGCCCTCTCCATAGCTCGCTGAGCGACCTTGAGCTTTCTCATCCGGCCAACAGTGAAGGACCACGCCTCAGTTCCATAGGTCATCACTGGCAACACGCACTGGTTGTACAGCTTCGTTTTCAAGTTTTGAGGTATACCTGACGAGAAGATGTGCCGTAATTTCCCGAACGCTGCCCAGCGAGTTGAATCCGTCGATTGACCTCTCGGTCGAAGTTGGACTTACCTAGTCGGACTATTTGTCCCAGGTAAACATACTCGTCAACAACTTCGAGCTTAGTGCTCCCAACAACTACCGGCAAGGTGTGACATGGACATTAAACATGATCTTCGTTTTATCCATGTTCATCTTAAGACCTATCCACTGAGAAACACTATTGAGGTCATGGAGCATAGTGCTTAGTTCCTCCAGCGATTCCGCCATAAGGACTATATCGTCGGCAATATGTTATACAAAAAAGGAATGTGTTTACTGTGCTCAGAAATCTGGGAAAATCTTAATTCTATGGAGTTTATGGCTGTATCCATAATGTGAGAAAATACTGCAATTTTATATTTTCGTATCAACTGAATAATTGATTCGTAAACACACTCATAAGTAAATTGCTTTTTCTTGATTCGTGCACGATATCTAGCCACTTTTTCAAAGTCTTACACCTTGCAATCAATTTCAGAAGCTAAGGCTTTGGCGTCTTCAAGAACTTGAGAAAAATTATTTTTTACGTGGTAGAGCCATGCTGCAGCTATATTAATAGTATAGTTGTAGCACGAATGGGTCGGCTCGACCGGGGAAGGACCACGCTCTCACAGAATACCAGCGTAAAATAGCAGCTTAATGCTGCTGTGTTTCGTATGGTGAGTGTAGAGAACCGGAGATCCATTTTACTGGAAAGGAGGCATTCTATCTTAGTCCTCAAGGCTGACAACGCATCTGCATTTTAATTCACAAACGAGGATAGATGCAGATCTCTATGGGCCACAACAACCACTTACCATCAGGTGGACTGTGTGCTCGTTTGTCACCCTAATTCTATAGAAAAAAAAATATTCATCTGAACCTGAGCTTCCAAAGAAATCTTTTGTATTTCTAAGTAATTTAATAACGGAAACTAAGTCAAAATCTTTACTTTGCATTAATTTACTAACAGGGTTTATGCGATTCAAAGTTTCGTACCAAATTATAATAGAACATAAAAACTTAAACTGTTTAATTTGGTTCAACAAACCCGAAGCGTCGTCTCGTGTGGAGGTATCTATATCTGTGTTTTGGTAAACACTAAATAATGCATCGTAAACTTGTCCGATTTGATGTCTTAGTGGTTTTATTGCTTCGATTCTACTTTCCTATCTCGTGTTACTAAGTGGTTTTAGAGTAATACCTTTTTTATTCTTCAAAAGAATTGACCACCTTAACGTTGAAGTGGGAAAAAAAATCATATATTTTTTGCACAGTGTTAAAAAAATTGTAGCTTCCAGTGAGGACTTTGCCATGTCGCCACTAAGATTAAAGAATGACTACTGCAAGGAACGTAAAATGCCCATGGATTGATGCTTTTAATCCTGGCTTGGGCGCCACTTTGAATACCTTTCATATTAGATCCATTATCGTACCCTTGCCCTCTTATGTTTTGTAAAGACAATCAAAGTGCTGATAATTATTCCACGATTATTTCTGTTAGTGCCAGACCCGTAGATTTCTCTATTCGTATAAATCCTAAAAAACGTACATTTATTACAATCTCTGACGTTCTTGAATGGTCTTGGGATTGAACAATAGAAATATACCTAATTATCATGGTCATCTGCTCAGTTTTGCTAGCGTCTGGAGTATAATCTAAAATAATAGAATTCGATGTTATAAAAGCTTCTGTATTAATGAACTCATTTAGAATTTTTTTACTTAAGTTAAGGTTGCTTGTTTCTCCTCTTTTTTCAAAACTCTGCGTACATGTTTCAGCATAACGGGATCAAATTCGGCTAACAACTCTACTAGTTTTAAAAAATTACTAAACTACTGTTGATGCAGATTATCAGTACCTTGAAAAGCAAAGACATTTTTAGCCAACATTTTGATGATTGTGGCAATTCGTGACAATACTCTATTCCAGTGTTCTATTTCAGATTTAATTATTCTCTGTGACTCGGCATATATCGTACGACACGATTTGAGCCTACGTGAAAAGTCTACCCAAGATTTTACAGCTCCTACATGGTTTCGTGATGTCTCATGAGATTTAAGCATATCTATCACCTACATGTTTCCAATTTTTGTAGCCATCTTCAGATAGACCGGAAGTTGTAGTTGTATTGAAAATTTTACAGCAAACGCAATACAACGAAATTTTTTGCCACACAATATACAAGCCAATGTCTCAAAATTTCTTCACCGTTATTTAGCTTTCTTTTATAGTATCTCGAAGTAAACCTCCGGCCATTGATATCTTGTGGAAATTCAAATTCATACAGTGGGTCTCGAAATATATTCTTTCTGCATCTGTTAATCTATTGGGCCACGTGGTTGGGTCGACATTTAAATAGATGTTGATTCCGTAGAAACACTTGCAGTTGCAATAACACCTTAACCTACAATAGCAGCTTCACCTGTAGTAGCACCTTCACCTGCAATAGCAGCTTCACCTGTAATAGCGCTTGACCCAGAAGTAGAAGCACCAGGTTCATATATTATATAGGAATCGGACGTATTTTCTTCTCGAGGCTTAAGCGGAATCTCAGCTCATAGGTTTCTGGTGTGGGTTACGATGGTTTGTCTAACTCACCTTTTTCAAAAAGGACTCTAATGCCCCTGCTTGCTTTTCTCGCTCTGCATCTTTTTCAAGTTTTTATATTGGTGTCCCGACAAGCGTGATCTACCGTCAGCCATTCTGTACGGTTTTTTTATAGGATAAGGGTGACAAACGAGCGCACAGTCCACCTGATGGTAAGTGGTTGCTGTGGCCCATAGACATCCACATCTATCTTTGATTAAGAATCAAAATGCAGATGCGTTGTCAACCGTGAGGACTAAGATGGAATGCCTTGTTTCCAGTAAAAAGGGTCTCCGGTTCTCTACACTCACCATACGAAACACAGCAGCGTTAAGCTGCTATTTTACGCTGGTATTCTGTGAGAGCGTGGTCCTTCCCCGGTCGAGCCGACCAATACGTGATACAACTTCCACTTACTGTGGGCAGTTGAAGATAAAACATCGTTTGAATTTTGTGGCTATTTAAAATTCAAAATATCTGTTTATAGTACGAAACATTGCGACTAGTACATACGTGTGTGAACCTTATATGACGGTGATTGTGTCTGTGTAATCACTACAATAAAACATCAAGAAATTGTGGAGTAAGAAGCATTTTAATATTTATAAAATCTTATATTTTCAATTTCTTGGACCTACCCCCAACTCGCAATTCGCTCGCTGTGACGTAGTACGGCAATATTTACTTGCTAATCTTTTAGCGCCTGGATAAAATAATTAGCACATACTAGTTAACAAACTTTTTCTAGTAAATTTTAAAAGTTGTTTTTTGGATTATTCTATTGCACCTAAAATGGATAAACAATTCTGTGGAGCTTGCAGAGCATTAATATCTGATAAAAGATACATGACCTGCCTTGGTTGTAAACAGAAGTATGACCTTCAATGCGCTAATATCTCACCACAGCGGTATAGAGCGTTAAATGATGAGAATAAGCGTAATTGGAGATGCCTGGAATGTAAAAGTAAAATACCTAAGAAGGATAACACAAACACACCTATACGCCCATCGCACCAGACAGAGTCGGCAGTTCTCGATAACGCAGATAACTTGAATGTAACGTTGCGTAAAAAATCTGATTTAGCATTTGACTACATAACGGAAAAAAAGTTGAAGGATGTCTTGGAGGCTGAAAGACAAGAATTAAGAATTGTTATTCAATCAAGCCTGAAGGAATTATCAGATCAGTTAACCACAATAAAAAACCAGTGTTCCGGATATCAGGAGTCTTCAATGTTTATTAGTGGGCAATATGAGGATTTTCGCAAAGAGCTCGTAGAACTAAAAAAGCTGCTTGCAACGACCACTTCTGAATTGAAATGTATAAGAGAAGAAAATAAAAGTCTAAAAAATAGTGTTACTGCACAAGCTGCAAGGATCAAAGCATTGGAAGACGAAAACTTGAGACAACAACAGTGGACACGAATGCAGAATATAGAGATAACAGGGATTCCTGAGAATAAGGCCGAAGATACTAAACAAATAGTATTGAAACTCTCGCAGCATATTGGGGCTCCTATTCAGCAGACTGATATCGATTTCGCACACCGGGTCCAACCTCGGCGCGCTGTAAGTGCTGCCCGCGCCCGCCCCATTGTTGTGCATCTAAGACAACGTGCCGTCAAAGACAAAGTTATAGCAGCGGGTCGCAAGTATCGTACTCTGAATGCTAAGGATTTGGGAATGGGTGATGAGACTAACAGAGTTTATATCAATGAGCACCTTACAAAAGAAAATAAAATTCTTTTAAATACATGCAAACAAAAAGCCAAGGAGATAAATTATAAATTTGTCTGGACAAAAAACTGCCGTATCTTCGTTCGAAAGGACGAGGCCTCACCCCCTATTCCAATATCCTCATCAACCGATATATCCAAAATAATGTAAAACACTGTTTGATATTTAATAATTACTCACCTTTCAATGTATGCAATAATCCTCCCTTACACTTACATAAAATATTTTTACACTTCTCTACACCCAACTCTATTTACACACTTATTGATTATGCAGTGCAAGAGTACCTCACAAGTATATCCTTTCCATGTGAACTACACTCCTATTGTAGACCGAAGCAAATTCTCGTAGTGCCACATTTAAATGCTATTAAAAACTACGGCTTAACTTATAAATATACATTGACCATTAAGGTTTGCGAATATTTATCTATATTAATTAATAACTATGTCTTAAAAATAATAGTTTATTTTTCCTTTAAATATTTAACATTTTATAGAGTGTACGTTTATCGATTTCACCAATACTACCCTGTCAGAAATGGATGAAAATAGTAAAAATAGTAACAACCTTACATTGCTTTATCAAAACGTTAGAGGGCTACGAACAAAGACTAATACGTTTTATAATAATCTGTTACTGTCTGAGATCGATGTAGTTATGATTTCTGAAACATGGTTATATGATGGTATTTTGGACGCAGAACTAAGTGACGATAATTATAAAATTTTTCGTAGAGATCGAGGATCATTAGGAGGTGGTGTAATGTTACTTTGTAAATCAAAGCTACACGCGCGCATGAGACCAGAATGGAATAATACTGATCTGGAATGCATTTGGATTACCATTCCAGGAAGTAACATAGGCTCTTCGTATGACATACACATTTCGGTAGTTTATATACCACCTAATCATCAAATATCTTCGCGCATAAAGATCTCATTAACACACTGTTAGCTGTTCGTGATAAATACCCAAATGACTATATAATTGTTTCAGGAGATTTTAATTTACCATGTATTGACTGGAGTTCTGGAGACCCAGTTATACGTAGGAAAGGATCAGTCGAAGTTCAAACTGCAGCATCAGATCTTATATCTTGTTGTTCTTTCATAGGACTTTCTCAATACAATACACTCTTAAACAGTAGCAACAATACTCTAGACTTAATCTTTTCATCTTTCCCAATAAAAGTTCAAAAATCTGAATTTGTGCTTGTTATAGAAGATGTATATCATCCAGCTCTGTACATATCTGCGACGGACATCTTAGTACCTTCACGTAGGCCTTCTTTAAGGACTAAATATCAATTTAAGCGAGCAGACTACCGTAGTATGAATGATTTACTTTTGAAACAAGACTGGGCTTTTATCACAAGGGAAACAAGTTTAGATCGTGTTACTGATAAATTTTACAGTATAATAAATGAATTAATTGAAAAATTCGTTCCTAAAATCCGATGTAGTAGTAATTATTCTTATCCAATATGGTACAGCAGAGCACTAATTAACCTTATAAAAGAAAAGAGTAAATTGCACTTTAGTTGGAAGAAGCATAAAAATCCAATTGATTACGCAGACTTTTCGGAGCTGAAAAAACGACAAAAGATACTACAGCAACAATGTTATAAACTGTACCTAGCACGCACTCAAGAGAATATTAAACATAACCCCAAAGCTTTCTGGAGTTATGTAAAGTCTAAGCGTAAATACAATTCTGATTATCCTCAAGAAATGACATACGGAGACACTAAATTGAATAACCCAATAGCAATCTGCTCGTCATTTAACGATTTTTTTAAAAGTAATTTTACTAAATCTATAGACAATAATTTGACTATACGATCCAATAATTTAATTTTAAATGTAATCCAAGATATTGAAATAAATCCAGAGAAAGTTAAGAATTTAATTTGTAAGCTTGACATTACGAAAGGTGCCGGTAGCGATAAATTGCCTCCTGTATTATTTGTAAAATGTGCAAAATCCTTATCTGTTCCTATAGCACTATTATTCAATAGGTGTCTTCGCGATGGCTACTTTCCAAGTATTTGGAAGGAAGCTCATGTTGTACCTATACACAAGAAGGGGCTGAAGACAATAATTGAGAATTACCGGCCAATATCAATACTCAATGTGTTAAGTAAATTGCTAGAAAGAATCGTTCATATGCACATATACCCCATCATATTACCTTCAATACCCCCAGAACAACATGGCTTTGTGAAAGGGCGCTCTACAGCAACTAACTTGGGCGCATTTATTGATTATACTACCACAAATATGGATGGAGGGTCGCAAGTAGATGTCATTTACACTGACTTTGAGAAAGCCTTTGATCGCGTAGATCACATCATATTACTACGTAAGCTTTTTGAGCTGGGCATACGAGGTAACCTTTTCAGGTGGATGGAATCATATCTGCGGAAACGATCTCAGGCAGTAGTCTTAGGAGGGTTCCGTTCTGACTTCGTGGAAATAACATCCGGAGTTCCACAAGGTTCTATTTTGGGTCCTCTACTGTACGTGTGCTATCTATATGATGTGGGTAAGTGTTTTTATAATGCTAAGTTTCTGATGTACGCTGATGACACTAAAATATATATGAAAATCACTGATTATGTAGATTGCATGAAACTTCAAGATGATCTTGTGCGACTTGGTAACTATTATGTGGTAAATCGTATAGGAGTTAATGTCAGCAAGTGTCTTTACGTTTCTTTCACAAGGAAAAGAGAACCTACAAAATTCAACTACCAAATAAATCACCTTAATATAACTAAGAAAGAATTAGTGAAGGATCTGGGGATATTACTGGATTGCAAGTTAAGCTTCTCAGAACATATTGAAACAATTACGCACTCGGCCTACAAAAGCCTTGGCTTCATCCTACGCGTAAGCAGACCTTTTACTGATATTAACTGTATTAAATTACTTTATTTTTCATATGTTAGAAGCGTCCTTGAATATTGTATTACTGTATGGAACCCGTATTACACTGTTCATATAAATAACCTAGAACAAATTCAGCTCAAATTCATGAGACATTTAAAGTATAGAAATTTTATTTACACTAATAACTATGAAGAGTCTTGTAAATGTTTCAATATAATAAGCCTTGAGGATAGACGTACTCTAATGGACATGGCATTTTTGCATGGTTTATGTAATGGAAGTATTGACTGTGTAACTTTAGCTGATAGAGTTCTCTGCTTTTGTACTCCGAAACGTAGAACGAGACATACACCTTTGTTTGCGGTTGTTAAGACAAAGACAAACTATGCACAAAACTCTCTGGTGAATCGTTTACAAACAGTTTATAATAAAAGATTCCACTCAGTTGATATTTTCCATTTCAGTAAGGATAGGTTTAAAAAGGATGTCTTGAAACTTCTGATGCAGTGAGGTTAGGTAACTCACTAACTCATACACACACACACACACACACACACACACACACACACATACACACACACACACACACACACACACACACACACACACACACACACACACACACACACACACACACATATATATATACACACACACACACACACACCCGCATGCGAGGGAGGAGCATACGAGCATTATTTATGTTGAAATTTTTTTGATTTTTCTTGTAATGTTTTCTAGATGTTTAAAAATATATATTTTTAGTCCCAACTACTTTGTCTTCAACATGTCCGTTATAAATTGAAAATACTATTTAAATAATGTAAATCCGTTTTTGGCTATAATTTAAGATCATAAGATGTACGTACGATGTAACAAAGAGCTGTGGATTTTGTTTGAAATAAAATAAAAATAAAAAAAAAAAAAAATAAAACAACTATAATATAGCTACAGCATGGCTCTACCACGTATAAACGGTAAAAAATAAAATATGAAATATATTTAAATAGTTGTAATAACATTGCTAGTGTTAAAAATTCGAGTCACTCTGTTTCACTGACTGCTATATTTTTTCGATTAAAACAATGAATCGATTTGGTAAGTAGAAGTATAAATTGAAGCTCCGAAAAGGACATTGACATAGGCTACTTTTTACCTCAGAAAAGTTACTCATTCCCAAGAGAATAATAATTATGTTGAGCGCGTGAATGAAGCCGCGGGTGACCGCTAGTGAGCAGTCACAGATGAGAATTAACAAGCCGAAACAGGAGTAATGTTAATTTTCACACGAATAACATACCACTTAAAACATTTTAACATACCTTGCGATCAATATTAAAATAAGGGCCGGTTTCACCACCTGTTATTAAAGTCCCAAATAGCCTATTTGTCAAATAAGAACTGTCAAACTCATACAACAACTGTCAAAAAACTGAAAATTTAATTGACGAATAGGCTAACCGAAGATTGTGAAATCGGCACTAAAACTATTTTATTATTTATCTAAAGTAATTACACTTTTTAGCAAGGTGTGTTCAATATTACGTATTTTTTAAGTACTACAATTTACTTTATAAAACAGATAGATACTTACATAGTAAATTCACACGCGCGTTTTAATATTTATATGATTAATCTGCCCCACTAAAAATCACGTCATTTTTAAATGTAAGAATAGAACTTACTTGTAGACTTAGCATATAAATATATTTCACATAAATAGATAAAACATTTTAATTCTGTATCACTTATTACCGATACATTATTTACGAATATGACGAAAATTTGTCTCTAGGGCAGAACATTTTTACTAGGAGTCTTCTAAATAAGTAATGGAAAAATTAGGCTTGGGCAAAATATATCGATATATGGAAATATCGATATTATTTAATATAAATATCGATATATTTCGTTGATATTTTAAATCATGATATATCGATATTTATTTTAGAGGGTCGAATTCGTATCAAAATCGATATATTTTGATTATTTTCGATATATTCAAGATATTCGATTATTTTGTTGTATCGTGTTTTTCGTCGTCCAACCGTCAGTTAATAAAATTTTGGACCTTATCTTTATATCATGCAAATGATGACAATATATCGAAATATCGATATTTATCACGCAATATATATCGATACTATTTAAAAATATAGATTCGATATATATCGATATATTTTCTCCTTTGCTCATCCCTAGGAAAAATAGTACAATCTCTTGCTTATATATAATATTTAAAGGATTCCCCTAAAA